CCCTCTGCCAGCAAAAATGGAGCTCAGGGGGCCACACATCCCCCCCCCAGGTCTGTTTTTACTGGCAGAGAGGTGCAGGAGGCCATCACAGCCCAAAATGGAGTCTGGGAGGGCCGTGCATGGTGGTGGGATTCAAAATTTTTTTATTACCGGTTCTGTGGGTGTGGCTTGGTGGGCATGGCAGAGGAAGGATACTGCAAAATCTCTAGTCAGAGGTGGTATTTACCGGTTGAACAAAATATGCAAAATTTCCACTACCGGTTCTCCAGAACTGGTCAGAACCTGCTGAATACCACCTCTGCCTCCCAAACTCTGTTTTCGCTGGCAGAGGCACTGCAGGCTGGTCCTTTGATGCTTCCAGGGCAGCCCTGCAGGCCAGATCTAAACACTCCGTGTGTGATGACCTGGGGCGTGGCAGAAAAGCAACGAAGTCACAAAAGTAGATCAAGTCCCCTTAATACCTCCAACTTGGCCCCCAATGTCCAATTATCATCAGCTGGAGAAAAAAACTCTCCCAAGAACAGTTTTTAAAGGGAAGAAATTCAGTCTGAATCCAAAGTACATATAAATTATAATTATAAATAAAAACCAACACAAACCACGCTGCAATAATTAACGAGACAAGGCAGGATAAGGAATTGCAGACGTCAAAAGATAACGAAACACATACAGTTGAGAGGACACCGGAACCCAGATAAGACTTGACAAAGAAAGATAATTCACACTTTGCTTCCAGCAAGGTACTGTGCACAAATGCCCTTTTTAAATCCTATTGTCCCAGCTGCAGCTAATGAAGGGAATCAGGGCCCTTTTCTCCCCTGTAACTCATGTTGCTCCCTTCTCCATTCCTCCCTGTGTGCCCTAGAATGAAGAGGAGGTGGCCCTGAGTCTTCCTCTGAATGCCCAGCCAGACAGTGCCCTTCCCCAGTTTCTTCCACAGCCACTCGAGCCATACTTCAACTCCCTGTCAGCTGTTCAATCTCCCCCCACCCCCGAATCAGATTCCAACAGGGGCATGACACTGTGGTCCGATTGAGTTTGACACCTCTGACCTACAACTTCTTCACATCAGTTTTAACGCCAAGGCAGAACTGAAAGAAGTCAAATCCTCCCAGTACACAAGAGATTGTATCCCACACCACAACAGCCAAACTCCCCATTCCTGGGATCTTATAGGACTGCTTCTGACAATGGCATAAGTTTCAGAGAGATACTGATGGGACGACAACTGCTGGAAAGGTCAACTCACCCCGTAACAGTTGGAAATGGCATTTTGTGTTGCATGGTAGGAAAGGCTAAGAAAGAATAGCTGTCATCAGTCTCTCTCCTTCACTTCAGAGGTGGTATATTCAGCAGGTTCTGACCAGTTCTGGAGAACCAGTAGTGGAAATTTTGAGTAGTTCGTTGAACCGGCCAATACCACCTCTGACTGGCCCCACCAAGCCATCTCTTCTCTGCCTCCCATTGAATCCCAGCTGATCAGTTGGGTCTTCTTTGGTTGCCCTGCACAGGAGAACGGAGCTGGAAAGCAGGTTAGTGGGGTGGGGAGGGAATGGGGATTTTACAGTATCCTTCCCCTGCCACGCCCTCCAAGCCACATCCACAGAACCAGTAGTAATAAATTTGAAGCCCACCACTGCTTCACTTGGCTAACAAAAGACAACAAGCTCCTTGAATCACAACTTTAAAAAGCAAGAAAGATTAAAAACTGTATATGGCCATGCTAACAGCAATTTAAACATGAACAGAATTGGTACAGAAAGAAAGAAAGCATGGCATCTTTTTTGCCAAGTTTGTTTTCTCAGATACTTCCCACAACTAGCCTTACTAGGAAAATTTACAATCTACACACACACACACACACACACAAATCAGAATCCCTGCTCAGGATCTTCCACCCAGGAGAAAAACCTGCTGCGTACCTACAGAAGAAAAGAGACTAAAATGTCCACCCACATACAAAGCCAATGTCCAACCTGTCCAGTCCCAAAATGTCTGCAAATACCTTGTAATATTAATGATTTGTTTTTTTAAAAAAAATGTCCCCATCTAATCCCAATTGATCTGGAACGCTTGAAGATGACATTATCTTTATTTTCAGGGTTTATTTCAGGGTTTTTAGCTGCATTTACTGTACAGTGACCCACCTACTCCCAGGCTGGAGGACACCAGCCAATCTTAGAAATAAAAATATAATCCAGAGGCTTTTCTTGGATTACTGATAAAATTCCAGCAAATACCTGCAAGCAAATTACCTGATTTTCTTCACGGGTTTTCCCATTTTCTGCTTTTGGAATGGATGTAGGCTTTCTGGATTTTAAGTTCCCCATGCCAACTCTTAGAATGCCATCGCAGGGTGTTGCCTTGTCTTGAAACAGTTCCTCACTTTCCTCTAAGACTACAGATTTGTCTGGGTAGTTTTCCTTGTTTTCATCTCTGTGGGGGAAAAGGATCAATAAAAGCACATCTTAAAAAGCACTCTGAAGAATTTTAAGCCAGTAAAACAGAGAGCAAAATGGTAGTGCTCAAAAGCAACACATCGATCCCCAAGCTTATCTGAAAAATACAAGTTTCCCTTTTCGTTTCTCCTAAATAAACCTTCCCATCAAAATCACCAAGCCAAAAATAAAGTTTCTTTGTATACCATCACTTTTTACACAGAGGGTAAGAAATCCAGCCCTAATCCCAGACTTCAAAACTACTTAACTACTACAGCCAACTGATTCAAGTTTGCCAGATAAAAAATAATAATTCCCCAGGGTATGTGATTTTGGAAAACAGTATGATTTCACCCTCCAGGCCTGGAGCTCAGCCTGAATGGTCATCCAGGCCAACAGCAATAGCACTATATCACTTTGTTCAGATTCAGCCTATTGCGCCCAATAATCTGGGTCCTCATTTTACCGACCTCGGAAGGAGGGAAGGTTGACTCAAACCTTGAGCCAGTCAGGATCGAACTCCAGACTGTGGGTGGAGTTAGCCTGCAATACTGCATTCTAAGCAAATGTTAGAATGGAACCAGGGCTCCACAGCTCCATGCCTTGGGAATGTCTTCCCATTCGTGACCTCGGTTGCCAGGTTCATCTCTCTTTGGACAAGGTTCCAATCCATTTTGTGTTGGAAAATTGCAGATTAGATAGATGATAGATAGATAGATAGATAGATAGATAGATAGATAGATAGATAGATAGATAGATAGATAGATATAGATGTTGTGGCTCCGGGCTTGGATTCAGCTCCTGTGACTGATATGAGTTCAAGTGAGGAGGACATGGCAGAAAAATATGAGCCGGCATGGCTCAGTGATTGGACTGGTAACCAGGATGAGGAGATGGACGTGACAAAGGAAGACAGACCTGATGTATTAGAATTGTCAGGACCTTTGACCTCCTCTGGTTCCTTATCTGATCAACAGCCGGGAATGGCTGACAGGGAAGTTTTGAGAGAGTCTTCTAGTGGAGATGAGAACTTGGAAAATTTGTGGTTAAATGTAAGGAACAGAAGACGGTTGAGAAGGCAAAATCAGCTGGAACGAAGGAGGAGGGCGAGTCAGTAAATTAGCACGTTGCCTCAATGAGTATAAAAGGACACAGCTGGGCTAGTACAATTTGCCAGGAACAAAGTGACTTATTGAGTGAGGACGTTACAGCAAGAAGCTCTGAGACTTGAGATTTATTGCCAGGACTGGTTTGCCGGACAGAGTAAAGATTTATGCTGTGGATTGAGATTCCTACCAGCCGTTATCTTGTAAGACTTCTTTCTGTTTGATTTAATTGTGAAACGGCTGCTTTCTGTTTTGTTCATTTGAATTTTGAAGGGGGGTCATAACAGATGATAGATAGATAGATAGATAGATAGATAGATAGATAGATAGATAGATAGATAGATGAAAAATAGATAGATAGATAGATAGATAGATAGATAGATAGATAGATAGATAGAGATAGATAGATAGATAGATAGATAGATAGATAGATAGATAGATAGACAGATGAAAAATAGATAGATAGATAGATAGATAGATAGATAGATAGATAGATAGATAATAAATAGATAGATAAGTAGATAGATAGATGATAGATAGATAATAGATAGATAGATAGATAGATAGATAGATAGATAGATAGATAGATAGATAGATAGATAGATAGAAGAAAGAGAGACAGTGATATGAGAGAGAGAGAGAGACAGAGACAGACACACACAGAGAGAGACAGACAGAGAGAGAGAGATAGACAGATAAGAGAGATAGACAGATAGACAGAAAGAGTTGCAGAGCTGGTATTCAGTGGGTTCTGACCAGTTCTGGAGAAGCAGTAGTGGAAATTTTGAGTAGTTCGGAGAACCAGCAAATACCACCTCTGACTGGAGATTTTACAGTATCCTTCCCCTGCCACGCTCACCAAGCTACGCCCACACTTTGCTGGCTGAGGAATTCTGGGAGATGAAGTCCACAAATCTTAAAATTGCTAAGGTTGGAGGCCCCTGTTATAGAGCAAGTGCCTGGGTTTTCACAATCTCACTGCCAGATAATCACATGCCCAAACTATTCCTAACTATTTGTGTTGGCAGCAAAGTAATATTGGAAAAGGTACTACAATTCAGGCTTGCAAACACTCTGGCACACACTTTGCACAGGAGGAAGCCTCCGCAGGCAGAATATCATTGACCGTAGCTGCGTGAGACACTGGAGAGTAAAATAGGTCACACTGGTAACCAGAGCAAATTGTCTACTGACATCTCCAGTAAGTTCTCCCCATCTGCTCTTCAGCCCTACCACATGGAAAGGCTTATCAAAGGGATAACTCGATCGGTGAGTAGGAAGGGACTCTCAATGTGCCAGCTGCACAATCAGTAGAAAAACGAGGTGGGGAATTTTCCTGCAGATTTTTTGGGGGGATTTTCCCAGGGTCTCTGCTGCTTTCTGCAGAGACCCTGGGAAAATGTCAGCAAGCCCCCATCAGTCAAAATTCATATTAGTGGTCCATGGGATTTAAAATTATGAGTTTGGTGGTCCCTGAGGTCCAAAAGGTTGGCGACCCCTGTCCTAGTCCAACCCACTCCCCACACAAGAAACCCTATACCATTCCAGACAAGTGGCTGTCCAGTCTCTTCTTAAAAGATGCTTCAGTGATGAAGCACCCACAACCTCTGGTTGATTGTTCTCACTGTTCTCATTCGACTGGCTGATTGTTCTCACTGTCAGGACCAACTTCGATACAAATCCCACCCCAGACATGTCAATACCTAAACCACTTTGCCAGTTCTGAGAATTCCTAAGGGGCTTTTTCTTGAAAATTTCTGGGAATGTTGTCAAGATCTACTTCATTGCCATGAGCATCAGAAGTTTGGGCTTAGCTTTTATTAGAGATCGTATGGTTAATCTCAGCTGTACTAGATTGCTTTCCTCAAACTTCCATTGCACCTTTTAATGCCCACAACATCCTGCTTTTAATTATTGGATTTATTCTCATACTGACCATTCCTTTACTTATGCACACACTTATTTTGTTTCCATGGTTACAGGGGGTCTTGAGGTGGGCAGAAAATATCTGGTTATGTGTAGACTTTTACTTAGCTGTTTATGGGTTTTAACTCTGAGGCTATTCTAGCTATAATATTTTTAGATCTTGAGCTCAATGCAAAAAGAACGCCCTTTCTTTGTTTCTATCCCTGTTCTGACCCAGGCTTTGTAAACTGTAATCACACACAAACTTATTTTAAAACAAGACTTATTTTATTGCAATGTTGGGAATTGTTTTCATTCTCAGCCACAATTAATCTCAAACAGTCCCCCAAGATAAGCACGCACCTTTCAGTTCTGTGAAGTGCTGCCAAAAGCAGAAATATCAAATGAACTAGAAAAGAAACCAACCAAAGTACACAGAGCTTCAAGGATGACTCTGAACCGATCGAACTACTTTGCTTCCTGCAAAGGTTTTGTCATCTTGGCCTGACTTTTATCCCTTATGGGAGGGGCAATCACCTCCCAGCCTTACTCTTGAGTTGCCCCTTTTGTTTCAGCTGCTCTTGCCTTCTAGCAGCTCTGTGCACATGCGCACTGGGAACAGGCTCCCCTTGTCCCTCTACCTCGCTCCTGCCAGACTCCAAAGGCTCCAAAGGCAGCACCCAACTCCCAGATAGTCCTGGCCCCATTCCTGCATCAGACACAGGACCCTCGTCCGAATCCTCTCCAGACTCCTGGACTAGTCCCCATTCTTCCCCACTGTCCGATTCCACTGCCGTCTGCACAACAATCCTTTCCTCCTCCTGTTTCTGGAGTTTAAAATGTTTCCCAGAATTCCCAGTCTCCAAAGGGAACATTTGTTCTCATATTCTCCACTCTTCCTTATACTTCAAAGAGCGTATGACATACACAACATACACTCTGGGCACAGTTTAGTCCACTGTCTGTCCTCACCTTCTTCTGTGTGGAAGGCTTAATTCCTGAGGTTCAATCTAGGGTAGAACTTCATGGACCCATTAAAGATGGTTTTGCACCCCTGAAATTTTCAAGCATCTATCAGGCCAGAAATCCCAGCCTCTACCTCTTCTTCCTCTGACTCTGTTGTAAAAGATATTACTATAGATTAGTTTCCCGACCCAGTCAACTATTTTTATTTTATGTACAGCCTCTTGGCAAAGTCAAAGTCTTGATCAAAGAGTTGAAGATTCTACTTTGGTCAAAGTAAACTGGAAATGCATTATGCGTCTGTCCCACTTCCGTAACAAGTCCCTCTGGGTTGGGATGGTGAAATATATCAGTCTGCATTATACAGGAGTCCACAGGCTCCTATAAAAGCAGGCATGTTGTAGTTCTTACCTGTTTAACTGGGCTTCCCATGCAAGTCCCAGAGATGGGCTTGTTAACGATGTAGCCTTAGGCTCAAAATAGCTATGTCCTTTGATCCTGCCACAAATCTGATTTTTTTTTCCCTTCATTAAAAACTAAAACATCAGGGATAAATATATCTCCCGAATGCTGTTCTTGATATGTCCCAGATTCCAGAAGTGTTTAAATTTTAATATAATAGAAGCTATGAATTAGACCTTGGCCGACAGTTCAGTTTTCAGTTTTTCACAAATTTTTAAGCAGTGCCAAGAGACTGACTCCTTTCTTGCGATTTTTAAATCCTTCTTATGAAAATGGAATCATAAGCCTTTCTACAACCCTTGCTTTTCCTCAGCAACTCATTGGCTTCATGGGTCCTAAATAAAGTTGCGAGCTCATCACTTCCATTCACCATCCCCCATTTTGGCTTAGAAGCAAAAATGAATCACCAAAAAGACTGTTGCCTAACTTTTCCAATTTCCTCGAAAGCATTTCTACTTTCCTCAACCAAAATAACTAATTGGGTGCAGCTACCAAAAGTGGCAATATATTTTATATAATATAGATTATATTCCCCCAACACAATTTTTACATAACTTCAATTAGTGTGATGAAGTTTTAAGGGCGGTTTTAGTATCTTGTGCTATTTGTAGAGTCAATTCTGAATTAGAACAGATTTTAAAGGATGTTGAAGTTATGTAGAAAATTTTTGGGGGGGGATATGGCCTGGCCAGAGCCATTGTGGCTCAAACCCCCTCCCTCTTCAATAAGGAGAAAATGAGTGTGATGTGTGGATTATAATAAGTCTGAAGAAAGGGATTTTAACTGCAGAGGATTCTGGAGCTCAAGGGAAGTCATCAAAATCTTATTCACAGGATTTTGTGTGTCTTTATTCCATAGTTCTACCTAATCAAGCATAGGAAGTCCTCAGTTAGATATAATCCCTGTAAGATTCTCAGAGCGTTTTTTTAAAAAAATATCAAAAGCTTCCATAGGAGAGACCAAGCTGGGTTTGAAGGAGGGGTCAAATGCATCATTAGTCTTGAGTGCCTTTGCCTCCACAGAGAGACTTAGTCCAGCTCAGCTTGGAATATGGGGTGGTTTGTAGGGTTGTTTTTTTTGTGTGTGTGTGTGTGTGTAATGAACTTCTGAACTTAAAGTTTCCCTCACTTGCCATGAGCCTGGTTGGGCAGCTGTTGTGTGCACTGGCAGGAAGTTTCTAAATAATAAAAAAGGTCCCCCAGGAGAGACAAAGGCATAAAACATCTACGGCATTTTATCTAAGGCCACAGTGGGGAGATTAACCCTTTCCCTGTGCTATTCCAAGATTGATTAACAAGCACACACACACACCCTAAAAATCAAGATTTCTATATTTGGGGCACTTGAAAATATAACATTCCCATGTTGGGATCAATAGCATCTTGGACCAAGGCAGGAAGTCGGGAACAAGATCTTCAAAGGAAACGCTTCAGCTCTTTCCGACTCCTTCCAACAACAAATTAGCAAACGAATTTTGAAAGAAAATGGGAAGGCTGGTAAGAGTTCAAGTCAGAAGCTTGTGCAGAAACTTCTTGGATTTAGTCTTCTTCCTCGGCACGTGAAAAGCTTTGACAGACATTTAAGGAAAGGCAACCGAGCATCGCCCAGGAGCTAAGGTGGGGGGGGTAAGGCATTCACCAACCGAGGACAATGCTTCAGGGAGACTGACATTAAACCTGGATGTTGTGTTCAGTAACCACAGTCGATGCCTTAGGCAGCCCCAGGCTGCGGCCACCCGCCTTGCCCTGTTTCCTGAGAACATCCACTGGGATTTCTGGAAAGTGGCTTTCAACCCAGCTCCATATTCAGAAAGGAGGATTAATTGCTTCCTTTCCACATCAATGTTCCTAATTGGACCCTGCGGTGGAAAAAACCAGGTAAGGAGACCAGGAAGATCTCGAATCCAGCCCAAGGCCTGCCCTGCCCTTTGGGGTCCTCCTGCCCCACCCGCTCCCTTGGGCCTGGCCACAGCCACAGGGCCCCAACACACATGTCGTTAAGTGAGAGGCTGCCTCTGGACGCAGAGGTTGTCCCATGGGGATGCGGGCAGGGCTTCAGCCCCAGGTGGGCCGGGGGTGGTTTGAGTGACGGGGCTTCTTTCCTCCCCGACTCCCGTTTTCCAGATTCCTCTACACAAATGCCTAGCCACGAAAAGGAGGCAGCCCATTTGATCCTGCAGGAAACCATCTTTTCTCTCCTTTGCGCTTCTCGTTCCCCAAAAAGGAGCAAACGCGTTTCTTCCGCAGCATCTCTCGTCCCCCATCATCACCACGAGAGGTGCCTCCTTCGGCTGAAGCCCCCCCCCCCCCACCCCGTCCTCTTTTCCAGGCTCCTGCAACGTTGTCGGAGCTGGACAGACTGATGGAGAGAGACGCCATGCGCCCTTCGGCTGCGGAAGGACCCTGGACAGCGGCCATTGCCCACCTC